CATGAAAGCAATGTACACAACTGGGACACAGAGGCCATCTGGAAACCAAAGCCACTAACTTTAGAACATGGGCAGGAAAACACGCAAGATGAACCTTAGGCTCAATACAGTGCCAGAACACCTTTCGAGGCAATGCCAGAAAATAATTTTCAAAGACATCCACTTATTAAAAAGTAAATGCCATTTGACAGTGGAGGAACCTGCAGGACACATCTCATTCTGCTGGTCAGAGCACCATCTGTAGATATAACAAATGTATCTTTTACAGCCTCAACTAATTCTTATATAAACATTAGGCTAACTCAAGAGGAATTCTACACAGTGACTGGTCTATGTTTGTGAAGTATCAAAATCATAAAAGAGGAGAAGTGGTCATGGACCAGGAAAACTAAGACATGACAGCAATAACAAATGCTGGCCATGGACAGATTCTAGTGAAAAGAGAAAATAAAGGATATGACTGAAGAAACGGCAAACTCTGAAAACAGAAGAGTGCATGGACAGCAGCAATGTAGGAATGTTTACGTGGCTGCGTTTTGTTGTTCCATGACGACGTAATGGTGACATTTAGGGATGTTGAGTGAATACTACTAATCTGTACTTTTGTGTGATTTTGCAGTTACTCTACAAAACCTCACAGAAAAGTTGTGCAATGATAATTTTACTCATTGCAAACAAAAATGAAATTGTTAAAAATAATGTTATATTTTTAATAAATGTCAAAGATAATTATATAACACATCTAAATTTCATAATTTGAAAAATCTATGCTGTTTTCCTTCATTAAACAAGTTCAATTAAAGCAACAACCTGTTATGCAGAGCTAGAGATGGGACTTATCAACACCTACAATAAATAGTTCTTATATAAAACCACTTTTACTAGGGATTCAAAATATGTGACGCATGTAAATTTTTAAATATGATTGTATTGACTACACAGTCAGTAGAAGGTCTATAAAAAGTAAGAGCCTTATCCATCACTGGATCAGATCATACTGCCTCACTTGAACTGTCCACAATCAATTTCCCCTCCAAAGAATTCTGCTTCCCTCTTCTTTTCAAAACATTCTTAACTTTCGGAGTCCTGTTCTCAAATGCCATGCATGCTGGTCCTGATTAGACCACAATATAACTATGAGAAGGTAGATAAGACACAGCAAAGGACATTTTAATGTGCTCTGAATTACACAGGCCTTGATAGCAAAGGAGAATTCAGCCTATCTTTTGGGTGAAAATATATAAACAGCACTTCAAAACTTTTCTTTAACATCGTGTAGCCGGCAACAAACTTTTGTGACTATCATCTATCCAAGAGTATTTAACTGAACAAGTTTCTATGATTTTCAAGTACCACCTTTCAATCCTATCAGGAGATAATGATAGAAAACATATTGATAAAGGTTTATTTCAATTGTGTATACTGTACTACTATGAAGCTGAGAAAGGAAATACAGACTGGATTGAGGGAGTGGTCGAAGCTACATTGACTCAGTCCACAGCAACACTAGTCCATTTGATTCTATCTTTCTATTTTCTTCTGTATGATATAGGGACATTGAAAACCTACCATGAAAATATTTACCATAGTGGATTTAAAGCTATTGCACATTTTTACTTCCTATTGTACATATTCAGATAATATGAAATCTGAAATTCCCCCTGTGTTTAAATTTTACATGGTAAAAATTTGATTAACTGATTTTTAAAAATTCCTTTACATGCATGATTAGACTATATGTGAGAGCATTCAAGAAGACAGTCAAGAATTTGATTCAGCTAGACTTTAGTTATGTATCCTTAGGGAACTTAACTACTGGAAGACCCATTTTTAAAATCATTAACTGGAACTCCTGACCATCAGAGACTTGTTTCTGAACAGTCTGGTGGGAAGCCTGGAATTATTATTCCTGTTCCTCTTTCTTTTTTGTAATTAAAATGCATAACTTGATAGCACGAAAAGCAAAAACTGCAGCACTGCCACTGACCATGGAACAGGAAGCCATCAGGATTCAGTCTAGGCTCAAACTTCAGTAAGCAAACTCTGCCTCTGCTGGTCCTGAGAAGAATATGAGGGTGTGCCAGACAGACAGTGGCAAATCCTTCCCTAACAATGATCTACAGTGTTGAGTACAAAAAAGAGGTACTCATACGCAGTGCTGAAACATTAAAGACCATATTTACTCTCGAGCACATGAAGCCTTAAAGTATGTAAGGATGTGTCACTACAGGGTCTTGAAGAAAGAATATTATTTAATAGAAGACGCACTGAGGAGAGCACAAGTCTTCATTTCTGATGAGAAAATCACATTCTCACAGACAAACATTCAGGAATGGGGTTTCATGGATGTCAATCATAGCACTAAAACGTAGGCTGATACAAACAGTCTCTCTGATACTTTTCACTCCTCAACTCAAAGAATGCAGTACAGGTTTATCTAAACTTAGAAACTTGAGCAGACATGAAAATCAGAAAGAGAGCAAAGAGGTAAGGCCAGGTACCAAAATACTAAGGTTGCTATGCCAGAAAGGACCCAGAGGACTGACTATAGCAGAAGGTGCCAGGGCATACACATAGTTTGGGAGGAACAAAGACGCTTAGCAGCATTTAAATAAATGAACTAGGGTCGATGACTGGGTAAAAGATTCCCACCCCTGAACTGTTAATTATTTTAGGAAGTCTTTTGTTAGAGTGAAGAACTAGGAGACTAGAAAACAAGGAATCCAGCCTGAAGGTTAAAAAGAAGAGGGGAGAGGCTGAAAATTATAGACCTGTAAGTCTAGCATCTATATTAGGAAATAAATTTGAGATGATACTCATGGATGAGCTTAATGATACATGTGGAGAAGTACAATTTAATAGCAGTGAGTCAGCATGGACTTACCAAAGGCAATCATGTCAGAAAAATTCCTCCCTTTTTATGTGGAAGTAATAATTGGTTTTTGTAAAGGAAAAACAATGAAAAACTGTCAGGTTTTTCAAAGTTTTGAGTTTCTTCATAAAATAAACTATTGTACAGGATGTCATGACATATATCAGGTATCAAACTGACAGCAGGTATGAAAGGAGCCCATGGAAACAGAAGGCGGGTGCCCTGAGTAAGGGCTGCCCTGTGCTAGGCTCTGCACGGCAGAACACCCAGACCTGACTGCACACCAGGAACATGCCTTGGACAAAGTCGTGTGCATGTGGAGCTCAGGAAGACAAAGGCAAATGGGCTGGGGAAGAATATCAAATTTAATGTAAGTATAAATCTGAGTTAAAAAATGAATTAAGTATAGCTTAAATGGTACTGAATTAGTAACAATCAGAAAGGAAGCAAAAAGGAGACAGGGTTTTGATAACAGTCAAACTTCCCCATTCCTATATTTATAACTGCTATGAAATAAAGTGGAATAAAATACATCATAAAGAATAGCTTAGAAAAGAATATGACAATCTAGATTTATAACATAGCATGGTAAATTCACATCATACTAACCAATACAGACAATAATTTAAGGTACTATTTGAGTGATACAATGTATTATGTCTTAGTATGTAGAACAAATGAAAAGTTAATTTAATTATGAAAAAATAACATATATAATACAGCAAACTAAAATACTTTACAAATATCGCATCATGGCTCACTGCTAATCTTTTCTGAAGGAGCACAGTGCTCTATCACTGCCTTCAATAGTCCTGGCTTCTCAGAGAGAAAGGTGAAATACAGGAGAGAGGCCGGCCACATTCTACTGGGGCTTTGGTGGGAATCTGCCTATGAACAATGAGTGCTGCCTCGGTAGCATGAGGGGCCAGCATGACAAAGGCACTTCCACACTTCTGCCAATCCATGGACCTTAAGTTTCTGGTCCCTGAAGTGAATTTTTTTTAAACCATCTTTCTTTGGGTTTGATTTACAGAATTGTAAGATGTAGCTATCAAAGAGAAAAGAAATACAAATAATTTGATGTGGTTGCTGTGTGCCAACACAGACACATATCAGCTCTGTCTCAAGGTGCACTGGATATGCACCAAACTTACTCCTGAATAAGAGAGACAGCAGAAGTGCAAACACTGCACTGGACACAGATGGTGTAGTTTTGTTTTTGACTAGAGTCAATGTACCAACGGTTACATTAAATTTGAATACTAAGTAAAAGACAGTGGTTAATGTAGAACATTACCACCGAACACCAGATTAGAAACACACAATCATATAAGGTAGCTGTTGGGGCAAGGCTACATGAATTGTGGCAAGAGGTATGGCTAAAGACAGAAAAGAAACATTTCATACTGTAAGGAAATACACAGATATATCTCATAATATGTGAGTGTATGTACGTATGTATATATGCATGTATGTATGTAAAACATCTGAAAATTCTAAATGTATCCAGTGATAAACCTTTAAATATGAAAAAGCCGAAATCACCATACTGAAGTACCTGATGAGAATACACGAACCCATAATCATAGGACATTTCATCATATCTGACTTCACTCCAAGAGGAAGGAACAATCTCTCAGCCATACCAGCACAGGCTCATCTCTTTTTCCTTGTGGAAAGGGAGGAGCTTATAACATTCAAGGTGCTTGAGTCACCTCCCCAGTCCCATTCTTCCAGTCTCCATGTTTTTATGGGAGAATAGTGGTATAGAGAATACGGCATAACATTTTAAATAATAAAAATAAGCTCCACCAATTAATAAAAACAAAACCTAAAAACTCTGACATCAGTATCTGACTATGCTTTAAATATTTGCTACTAACTTTGAGGCTCCACAGAAATTTTATTAGATTTGAGTATATGAATAAAATACAGGTGAAAGGGTCTATTTCCATGCAGAACAGGGAAGGAGCAAAATGAACCACTATATAGGGCCAGAAACAGACTCCATCAACACTGGATTCCATGGGAAGAAGTCACAGTACTCTAGAAAGAGCATCATTACCACTGTGGAGAATGCAATGAGATCTGTTAAGAATGCAAGTGCTTTAATTTTTCCATTCCTTACCAGCATGCAAGTATGCGAGGTCAGGGTTCTCAATGTCAGGATGCTGTTCTTTCAAGTGGTTTCGGAATTCCACAGGGACATTCGTCCCATAGTCACATTTTGGGCAGTTGTACATCTTGACACCTTCATGTTTGCCGGTGTGTAAAATGTGTTTGCGGATATTCTCAGCGCAATTTGACCTATCAAGTAAGAAAGGAAATGGAATTAAGTCTGATCAGTATCACTACATCACAAATGCTTATCCAGTTCCCCTGGCAGTCGTTTCTACATGCTAAGCAGTATCCATCTACTAACTTCACAGGTTAACATAAGTAAGAAATCTACCTTACGATGATGTCCATTCCATAACCAAGGTACCAGGTCCTAAGGTAGTCTTTTGCCTCAGCAATTCACCTCTGTGTAGAACCAGAGACACAAAATCCCAGCCTGTATGTTTAATATCAAATTGTTCTGGTACTACTTGAGCACAGTGAAGCCTGTACTGATTATGAGCATATAAATATTATATATATAATACAGAGAGAGAAAAAGAGAGAGAGGGAAAGAGAGATAATGAAGAGAAACACAGAGACCAGAAGCCAAAGGAAGACAAGAGAGAGAGAGAGAGAGAGAGAGAGAGAGAGAGAGAGAGAGAGAGAGAGAGAGAGAGAGAGAATAAAGAGAAATACACAGAGACCAGAAGCCACAGAAAGGCATGTGGGTAATAATGATTTCTGGCAAACATAGATGGTGTTTGTTTTTAGCATAACCAAAGTCTGAAGATGACTGAGGTGATAGTTGCTGGTGAATATACCAAATCCCACAGAGTTTTCCAGCTTCAGTGAATAGAGGACATGTTTGCTATCTCTGGGTTAAGATTACAGGCCTCATGTCCCTGTCACTAGGAAGACACATCCTAACAGGGCTGGGGTTCCAGAGTAAAGAAGCCATGACCCGCTACCTTTATGAGAATAATATCTTTTTGTGAGTGAATAATGAGCTCTTACCGAGTTTATCACTCAGACGTCACTCTGTCTGATGTACACACAAGGCTGACTATCACGTATGTGCTGCTGCCCTTCCCTGTAGACTGGCTGTACGGAGCCATGCCACCATGGACACATGCATGCAAGACGCCCTCTGATCACCCCTGCTAAGAACTACAAAGCAAACACCCTGAGGACAGAGGAGACACAGACTGAGGGGCCTTTTTGTCCTTGATCAGTACTCCTCTGGCCTGGACTTTAATCTCTGAATTCCTCTTCTTTGCCATAAGAATTTCTACATACCAAAAAGTTTATTCCTGTCTCCAACTATCTCCTTGTGTATCCTGTCTTCTGAAAAGCTAAAAATTCTTAGAAATATGTTAAGGAGTTCTATGCATATTTCCAATCCTCAGATGAGTTCTCTGCCTCAAGTGCCCCAGTAGGAGACCCAGGAGAACCTCTCTGGATAAAGAAGACTGCAAAGCAAGAGAGCACAGGGATCCTCCCAGGACAGAACAGGACAGTCTGGGATCTCTGGGTCTGGATCTGCAGGAAGATGTGCTGTATGTTCCCCCACGCCTTGCTACCATTTCACTCCACTAGGCTGCTAAGGGGCCAGTGATAATTTAGGCATGACTTAGGCAGCCCAGCCTAACTCATTGTTACCAATGTGTGAACTCAAATCCTCTCTATATAGGGCTCTGTAATGTAAGGCAGTTACTTTAATTCTGAGAGCTCTTCCCTTAGCTATGAAATAAAGAGTTAAATAAATCATCTGAACCCTGAATTTAATCTTTACAGGAAGGCAGGTGCCAAGCACACAGTTCACCAGATGCTAGAGTGGTTCAAAGCTGTCTACAGGCTCAGGTTTGGACTCCAGGTCTTCTGAGTTAGCATGGAGGAATAAAAGGCAAAGGTGTGTGGCACAAGCACCCATGATCCACCACGATGTAGGAAGCAGCCATCACCTAAGACAAGCCATTAAACTTGAAGATTTCTTCACAGTGATCATCTGCCATGTAGCTCAAAGGCTACCCCTCCAATTAGAGTGAACCCCACTGTGGGAGCAGGAAAGGAGGTTTCTCTACATGGCTCCTAAGGCTGAGGTAATCCCTGAAGAGCTGCCAGGATCAAACCCCCAAATACTCTTATGATAAGAATAACGTTATTTAAAGAGTTTTTTAAAACTGCTAGGTGGTAGTAGTCCAGCACTTAAGGTAGGTGGGTCTCTCTCTGAGTTAGAGGCTAGATTGTTCTACAGAATGAGTTTCAGGACAGTCAAGGCTAAACAGAGCAAGGTTAAACCTCTCTCAAGCAAAAAAGTTATTAAAAATTAATTCTTTGAAAATGCCATGCACACATACAGTGTATTCTGAGCATATTCGCTTCTGCTACCTCTGGGTCTACTCCTTCCCCCAGACAGCTCCCCTCCACCCCCAGCTTTAGAGCCTCTAAATATTTTAAAAGATTACTTAACTGTGCATGGATGCCTCAGACTACAATATGTGTGTGTGTGTGTTTCTGTGTGTGTGTGTGTGTGTGTGTGTGTGTGCATGTGTCTTTGTGTGCATGTGTGTGTGTGGGTGCATTTGTTGTCAGAGGAGGACTTCTCTCCCTCTACCATGTTCATTTTGTTCATCCAAGTAATCAAACTCAGGTTCTCAAATATTCCAGCAAGCACTGTGACCTCCCAGGTCATTTTCACTGACCCCTAACCTACTGTGTCCAACTTGTAGCTATCTATATATGCATGGATATGATACACCCTTAAGGAAAATGTATTCTCCCTTCACTAGAGGCTATGGACTAAGAATATAAGTGAGTAAGGTAACTAACTTAGTTATGGTTTCTACTCCTCCAAGAAAACATCATAACCAAAAGGGGTTTATTTCATTTATACTTCTACATCAACAGTCCATCATCAAAGCAAGTTAGAACAGAAACTGGGAGGCAGGACTTGAGGTCATGGAGGGGTGCTGCCTACTTCACTGCTCCCTATGGCTGCCTTGCTCAGGCAACTTTCTGATAAACCCCAGGACAATCTGTGCAGGTATGGCACCACCTACAATGAATTGGACCTTTCTACATCAATCACTAATTGAGAAAAATACCCCACAGGCTGGCCTAAAGGCCAATCAATTGTGCTTTCCTTTTCTCAGATAACACTAGCTTGTGTCAAGTTGACAAACAAACAAATGAACAAAAGCCAGGACAATTAATCCTTGTCACTCTAAACCAAGCAGTACTACTAAACATAACCTTCCCTTTCTTGCTTACCCCCAAGATGCCATGTTAACCTTAACCCCACAATATAAAACATGGTGTATGGTGTATCTTCAAGAGCTCCATGGTCTTTAAAAATTAAAATAATTTAAATATTCAGTCTCTTTAAGACATGTAAAGTCTCTCTCAAAGTTGAAACCCTCTCTAAAATGTCCAATGTCTCTCTAAATGTTCAACATCCCTCTAAAATATCCAGTATTTTTAAAGTACCAAAGAATTTAAAAGGTCAGCTGCTCACCTGTAACCTCCTGTAAAATCAGAAACTCACATTAAATGCATTTTAATTCAAGTAAGAAGAACTGGGACACTGTCACAATCAAATTGGAGCAAATCAAAGCCTAACTCTAAACATCTCCATGTCCAATGTCTGGATTTCACTCATGATCTTGTGGGCTCCAAGGGGCGTGGGAGCCCAACTTCTCTGGTTCTACAATTCACAGCACACACAGCTTGTCTGATCAGCTCCACAGCTGCTGTTGCCCTTGGGTGTCATCACTTGGTATTAACTTCTCCAAAGTCCTGGGGTTCTGCTGCAACTGGGCTGCACCTTCATCAACTGCCTCTCCCCATATGTGTTCAGGGAGCTGCCACAAGGTTCCAAACCTCCAATCTGGGGCTTCTACTATATCTGTTACAGGAGCAGATGCTGGATGTGTCTTATATTAAAAGAGGAGGGATTTTAAGTTTATTGTTCATGCCAAGGAAGAAATTAAGTGAAACAATGTACTTTTGAAAATTATACTTATGAAATCACCACCATCAAATGAAGAGCGAGGGCTTAGAGGTAACAACTAATGTCAGAGAGACGAAAAGGATTTCTGATAAACCAAAGAGACTTCACAATGAATTCCAGATAGATGGCATCATATACCTCAAAAATTTCAGAAGTACTTAAAAGTGACTTAAATGAATATAGGCACTCAATATCTAAGGAATGAACCTAACTATATAACAACTCAGTATGAAATTGACCTAAATTACCCTAAAGAAAGTATTCAAAAATGAGAAAAGTTTGGAGTGGAGATGGTGCATTCATATATATAAAATATAAGGAAGCATAATCCATGTAGTGTGTGTATGTGTGTTAATTTGCATATATATAAAATTATTATTTTAAAATGACATACTACTTTCGACTACTGCTTGTCCAAATTATACTTATAAAATAAACACACACACACTCACACTCTTTACATGCAAAGAATCTACACTATTCTATCTGGACCCTTGAGAATATGTTATCTAACTCTCTCCTTCAGTTTGAGTCAGTACACTTCCACCCCTGAGCCAACATGTGCAGGGACATCAGCTGCTGCTGCTGCAATTTCATTTGCTTTACAGCACAATGTAAGTGTCACCTATAGCCAGTCACTCTGCTCTCCATACTGCTTTCCACAGCACACTAGCAACAAAACCCAACATCACAATACACAGTATCTGCTACTTGGAAAAATACTGATTTAGAGGAAGAAACACCTCCACCTTCTACTCAGACATAAAGTGAATGTTCTGTATAATAAAGGCTGTAATCATAAAGTCAAATACAGACTTCAGCACACAAATAATGCAAAATTCTACAAATCAAAAACCATAAATATAAGAAAACATATAGGAAACAATGCATAAAGCTTCCATGAATGGTTATAAAGCCTTCCCCAGAAAATTCTGCTCTCAAGAGGCCAGCAGATGCTAAGAAATACTATGAGCACAAAGTAGGGAGGTGAGAAGGCTCTGTACTCAGAAGGCCAGGGAAGCACTGCACACTGCAGGAGGGGAGGGGTCTCCTTACTCAGAAGGCCAGGGAAGCACTGCACACTGCAGGAGGGGAGGGGTCTCCTTACTCACAAGGCCAGGGAAACACTACATGCTGCAGGTGGGGAGGGGTCTTCTTACTCAGAAGGGCAGGGAAGCACTGCATACTGCAGGAGGGG